AACCGACTGGGAAGGGCAGCAACGAGAGCGTGTACGAAGCGGAGCGGGTCGAGTTTGGTCGTGCTAGGACTGGCCACAGCGGCACGGGAGCAGCGGCACGGGAGCAGCGGCACGGGAGCAGCGGCACCGGAGCAGCGGAACCGGAGCAGGCGGCCGGCATCGAACCGTGGCGCACGGACAAACATCTCTTGTATTGTCAATTATTTTTCCGTTTTTTTCCTGAATACAGGTGTTGGGTGTGTGTGCGGACGTCACTGGTTTTGTAGAGAGACGTGGCAGAGATGGCACTGATAACCCGGGTGCCTTAATTGTGTACCTGCATCGTGGAAGACCCCTTTAATGTGGAACGATTCCTAGTCAGTGTCGATGTTTACACTGCTGTGCCTAACACAGATGATCTGGATAAATATGGGTGATCGTCAATTGCAAGGATGGCTTTGGTTGGGCGTTCTTCTTCATTGTATGCCCACGGGCTCATTCTGACAGCACTTCAGACAGCAGCTCCATGCCCCGAGCTTGTGTACCATGCACCATGGTGTTGTTATTGTACAGACAGCACTTCAGACAGCAGTACGCTGTAGTCGACAAACATTCATTTTGGTTAAATGCGGGACAAGGGGGGTGATGCTGCTGCTGTAGTCGATTTGTAGTGTGTGGGCGTGTAGTTCAGTTGTGAGCACGCAAACGTGCTGCAGGGATTGCAGGTGTACCTCCTCGGGCTTGGGTACCCTTTCCTTGCTAATAGTGTGTGTGTTCAGATCTTCTGATGGCTCTAGCATTTTTGTGACCACGGACCGAGTCTTTGCTAGATTTTCGGAGTAGCAACTGACACAAGTTGATGTGAAGAAAAACAACAACAACAACAACAGGCACATATATATTTTTTCACATATTGAAGTGGTTGATGTCATGCAGAGTATCCTACACTGCGTACACTGAACAATGACTACACATGGTCGCTGCCGTCTACGGCGGCAGTGTAGCTTTCAACTCACGTGCAATACGCGTTTCGCTGCATTACTTGATTCGATGCGACATTGCTCTCCGCATGGAAGTTCCAGGACGGCCTTTCAAGACGCCGTGCCATGCGGGAGTTTCCATCACAATGTGCCCCCGGGCACAATTTGCGTGCGTCACCACTCTTCGTGTACTCAGTAGCGTAAGGATGTGCATGAGCTCCTCCTTGCTGTCAATTCCCGCCAATTCCTGTTCAAGAGCCGTAGACTCGGTGTGTTCCGAGACTCCGCGGTCTGACGACCTGAAACAAGTCGTCGTGAGGGGGAGGCGCCTCGCCCAAATCCTCCCCCCGTCCCATCGTCACAATCACACGTGTCGACGTGTTCCGGTCAGTGTGCTGCAGCGTAGGATAAGGACGATGCAACGATGAGGAAGACTTCCACGTTCACAGAGCGGCAAGAGCATGTGGTACATTGGCAGCTCTGGGCGAAGTAGGCCGGCGGTGCTCGCGCCCTCCCCTTTTCCTTCATCATCGGGCGCTGACTCAAAGAACAACGATTTTTGTACGATTTTTGTACGATTTGTTTGCCTACGCCCCTTCTTCCCTCTCGCACCCCGACGGTGCAATTGCTCACGGAATGCTTCCCTCGGTGCCCTGCAAATGTCGGCATAACCCAGGAGGTGAAGATGCTGATGGCGTGCCACGAGGAAAACCCGTACGGCAAGTTCTTCGGGGCGTGCAACGACCTCAAGCTCGCGCTCGATTCGTGCTTCGTGGTGAGCAGCGACAGCAGTTGCAGATAGTTGGGTTTTTCGAGGGCCCCCGGGGACCCGGAGGTTTGACGTTGTTTGTCCCAGGATGACATAGTGTTGGTTTCCTTCATATGTCGGCCTGGTGGCGACGTCGGTGCCATTCAGATGAGCACCCACGCACGCAAAGGTTGTTCGCGTTTGTCCTGATATGTACACCGACCACGTCTTGTCATTGGTGAGCTCTTTAGCGCGCTCGGTGCCAGTATCAGAAACCCATACACGTACGCACATGCATATGCACGCAAACGCACATGCGCATGGCCTTGCGAAGCATTTTTCTGTTTCAGCTGTACTGACGTCTGTTCATTGGTGTTCATTGGTCAACCGGTTAGCGCGGTCGATGATAACAATATAGACACACCCACACGCCGATGCTTCGTCCACATAGCTACACCCCGCCCGCCCCCGTGCCTTCTACCCATCCGGACCCTTCTCTCTGTCCCTCTTGCCGCACATGCAGATTGCACGTGTCTTAGAACCGCAAGCGTGCTGTATGGAAACGGTTTATGTATCCGGAATGTACCTCATCCGGTCTAGGTCAACGCCGTTTGTTTTGGAGTTTTCAGTCGTTGGCTTTCCCTACAAGGATAATTTCCTCTTTTGTGTTCAAACATTGGGACCATCATCCCCTTTCTGCCTCAACACATGTTTCGATTTCCATGCACGCAGCTTGAAAAAGAGGAGAAGCGTCGGAAGAACCTGGCTAAGGCCCGAAGGTTCGACGCTGGCTTTCAGAAGGAGCTCGAACTCAGGCGAAAGGAGCTGGAACAGGAACAGCAGCAGGCGGGGCGGTAGCGGCGGTGGTGGTGGTGTGGGCAGCAGCAGCAGCAGCAGCAGCAGCAGCACAGGAGGAGGAGGAGGAGGAGGAGGAGGAGGAGGAGGAGGACAAAGGAGGTGCATAGACGAGGAACAGCCGCAGGAGGAACGGTAGCAGCAGCAGCAGCAGCAGCAACAGCAGCATCGTGTTTCGACGTGATCCCTTCCAAGGCTCTGGAATGAGGCCCAACAACCTGTCAACCTCGGTCGCCGTTTGCGTCCTACGGATGACGCCAGCACATGACGACCTACTTCTATTATTTTCCCGAGGCTCGTGTGCTTTTGTTGGAAACAACATGGACTATGTAGACTTGGTGCGGGACGGGGTTCAGTTTCCTGTGCTCGAAAAAACTATCGCCTCAAGTAGTTGAAAAGGGGGGACCTCGGGGACTGCAGTGAGCTGTGGGCGTAAGCGCTCTCGTTTGCCAACTAGAAGCTGATCGTTGAGGCTGTGATCGCCTACCCTCCACGACCGTGACAATGCCCATGGCTGCAGTGGCCCGGACGTGAGGATAGCAACACGAAGGATGCGTTTTTTCCTCTTGACCTTCGAACATTGTTCAAGCCCGGGCATACTAAATGTAGTCTTGGGTTCGGCGGGATACGTACGCCGTGAGGCATGGAACAACCATTGTTATTCCGCGTGCTGACGGCAGTGGGCGATTACGTCGCTTCCGCTGTGCTTCTGAGTCCAATTCACGTGTTCCGCGGTGGCTATTGATGTCACGTTGACGCGAGTACATTAGATTAGAAATTATTGTACAAGGGTGCGGTGCCCCCCAACAGCTGTTGATGACGCGTTGACAGTTTCCTTTGTTCTTGGTTGCCCTGCAGATTGGGCATGAACGACCTTCCACTCCATTAGTTCACAATTCAGCGCCAGCAGCATGTTGGCACGTGTTTCGCCTACGGTAGTGTTCTGTTGTACAGCAGTGGCCCCGCCGGCATGCCGATGGCCTGAGCGTCTCGACCAGCCCGGGTTCTCCCATTCGTTGGAAATTCGCACTGAACATTGCCAAGCATCAGCAAGCATGCTGCAGAACGCATTGCCGTCGGTAAGGTAAGGGTTGTTGCAGAGAGTGGATGCACCGCTTTCGAGACGCACATCCCATCCCGCCTTAATGCCCTCACTGCATAGGTATGCCGCATAATTACAACGACTGTGACGGAGGCTGACTGCTGCAGTACAGTGTTCTGAAACTCCCGACATTCGGAAAGGGCAACAACGGTCCACCAACACATGTACCTTACGGGAAGAAATCCGGACTAGCTGATAAGTCGTTGAAAGTCTTCCAATCCAAGTCTTCCAAGGAGCGGTAACTCATGCCAACGACGTAATCCTCGCCTGGAAGTCGTGAGAGTGCAAGTGTCAGGAACTTCGTAAACCTTGTCAACCTAGGACCTAAGTACATAGGTCTGAAGATTAACGCGCTGTCCGATGACTCTGAGATGGCGGCCAAATAGCACAATCAGCATCAGAATATGTGAGGTAGCACACGAAACGCCGTCACCGTCAACCAGAGTGCACTGCTGTGGGAACGCAAGTGACAATGAAGGAAGAGAGCAGAACCGATCGGGAAACCGAGACCACTACTGTAGTTCTGCCGTCCCGAGCGCGCCGCTCAATAACTGAATCTAACAAGTAGCGAGGCGTCTCATCAGCCGGGCACCTGGGCCAAGGCACTGCGTGAACATCAGTCACCGCCGGGGCCACCAAATGTGTCGGCAAAAGTCCGCAAGACGTTCTTAGCCCTGCCACCTATCAAGACCCTCGCGCGACGGTAGGACAATTAACTATTCGGCCACGCCTTCCTCGCTCCGCCCTTCTCAACAAGGCACCGAGCCGACTCCAGCGATTACACCCGCTGATATCTCCCGTCAAAACCGCTACCAGCAACACACAAGGTCTGTACCCCACGGCGGAAGCACCGTCAAAGCAAAAATAGGGTCACCGAAACCACGCATCTTCCTCTCGCTAACGCGTTCTCACCGTCTCCCCTTCTCCCCATATCCCCCGTCTCCGCATATCTCAATCCCAACCCACAAAAATCCGGCAACAGGAGGATTCTCGCTAAAGTTCCAACATCGCGAACGAAAGTAACCCTAATCCTCATTTTCTGTTCCCAGCATCACACAAGGAAATCGCGGTATTCCACCATCAAAGAGGACAACCCACTGCTCAAACATCTCGAAAGCGCGCTGTCGTTCCAACACTACAAAGAAACCCCGCTCTTCAAAACCCAAAAACAAAATACGCAAGCTCACTGGTGCAACATCACAAGGAAGCTCGCTGTTCCCCAGCCCCATCCCCTTCGTTCATGGCCTTCGCTAGCTCCGCCTCCAACGCCTTCTTCACCGCAGCCTCCGCGCCCTCGTCCACAAACATGAAGCGAGGCGAGCTCGGGTCCACGGTAGCCACCTCTACGGGCACGCCCTTCCCCATCGTCGAGCTCAAGTGAACCTGTTTTCGGGGAGGAGGGGGG